ACTCATGTTTCTTTACAAAGTAGTATCTGTTCTATACTTTCTCGATCTTCTCAGCCCAAAGAATCAATGCTCCTCACCATCGGGGTTCGATCCTGTGTTATTTTCTTGAAAGGTCATTTGATCTGTTGGTTAGTTGCTATTGTATGCTTACTGCATTCTGCAAGTAGCCAAGTAGTCTCTCCACAAGATGAGAATAAAGAAGAGAAAAAGAAGGGATTTGATCTTTTCCTTCTACAATTAGTAAACCATAGTTTTTTAAGGCTCGTCCAAGAACTTTAGAGTGTATAATTATCATTTATAATTAATTAATTGTGTGAAATTGATTGGCAGTTTGGGGAAATACTGGCTACCACCGAGCATGATGAGGCAATAATCATCTCGGAGATTGACTATTCCCAAATTGAACTTAGGAGGTGATTTTGTGTTGCATTGCATGCAGCATACCCTTTCCTTTGTGATTTTGTGCGTTGTTGCGTACTTTCTGAACCTCTTCCATTTGCTGATATGTGGGCTATACATACATACATATATACAGGACAAATCTGCCATTGGAGAAGCAAAGGCGAGGTGATCTTTACCAGTTGGTAGATGTCCAGAGATTGAATTCTCAGTGAAGCATGCTTGGTTGGTATAATCCTCAATTATGCAAAATGTAGGAAAGTTTTGTGCAAGATATTTGGCGGTGAAGCTCTTAGTATTAATCCTTTGGATTACTGTCTATAAAATTCTCCCATTAGAATAATGTAAGTCCAGAATAGCTATATCTGCTGCAGAAGAATATTGTTTATTCTTCACCCGGAGATCCTATCATTGTATCTGCTGATAATAATGAATTTTATTTTTCAAGTTGTATTGAGCCTCTCAAAACCGTCGGTTTGGCATGTATGGACAACCGAAACTCTTGGTAATCTGGTCATTAAGCCATTAAGGTTTGAAAATGATGTGTTTTTTTTTTTTTTTTTAAACTTAGGTGATCCAACTTTTGTTGGACTAATTCTAAGCCCACAGGACCACGTCCCTGGAGTCACTGCAGAGGGTAAATTATTATGTGGACCGTCTACACAGTTGTGGACTACGGTCTAAAACGACGTTGTTGAATTTTATGAATTATAAATAATGTACATTATATGTTAGAATAATGAAATTTCTGGGGTAAGGATAATATGCATTATGCTTTAGAATAATGTACAGTATGAGTTATAAAAATGTATGTTGTAGTGGGTTGTGTAAAAAAAATTGAGTAAAACGATGTCCTTTTTAGACTGTGATCATCCATACAGTTGTGTAAACGGACCATGGTCCCTGTAATAACTCTTGATTGTTGAGGTAAATTGCGAGTTGCACAATTAATTTACCAATTAAATTTTAGTCTTCATATGCATACAAGACTGAACAAAGTAATGGGGTGGGGTGGGGTGGGGGGTCATTTTCCACATATCCATAATGTCCGACTGAATCTGAAGCATTTGAGGATGGAGACGACATTCAGCATTTAATGAGACATGTGTTGATGAAGAAGAAATGTGAAGGGAAGAAGGGGGATATGGAGGGCACGTGATGACAGGGGGGAAGTGGGACCCACTCTGACAGAGGTGCACGTGAAGCTAAGCTTTAAAGAAGAAGAAGAATTTGGTGTCAGGGAATGGTAGAAGAAGGTGATGATCAGTAGAATGGGCTTTTGGGAGGAAAGAGCTGCATGCCTTTGATCCTACCTGGGAAGATAAAGAAAAAGAAAAAGAAAAAAGAAAAAAAAAAAAAAACAATGAATGATCATCTATAAATCTATTCATCTCAGTTCCACTTTGATCGTATCCATTCCCTTCGTCTGTCCTCTTTTTCTGGTCTCGGGATCTGACTTCCACTTTATTTTATTTTTTCTCACATTTCACTTTCACTTTCATTCTAAACCCTCAAATCCACAAAATATATTTTTAAAAACTTCTAGCTTATGCCTACAAAAGTTGCCTACATAGCTATATATATGTATACTGTTGCACTGTGTTAAATTATTATTATTAATATTAAAGTTACATAGGGCATATGCAGAAGGAACACTTGGAAAAGGGAACTTGACTGCTTTCAACTTCCTAAACCTTTGAAATTTATATATGATGGTATTAATGAAAACGGGTCCACCATAAACCGAACAAAATGGATAAAAGAAGATTGTGATGAATATACTATGCTAAGACACCAGGCTCAGATTCCCTGGCCCACTATCAAGCCCAAACGTAAGCCCTGATTGTCGATTGGGCAAATTATGCTGTGCATCCGTATGCACTATGCATGGTGCATACGGATGCAAAAACGACGTCGTTTTAATAAAACGCGCGTCTTCCCTTAAAAAAAAAATCAGGTTCGATTCCCAGCAACAACATATGAACTAAAATTCCATAATCGATGAACTATAATTCCATAATCGATGAACTATAATTCCATAATCTAATCTATGAACTAAAAATTCAAGAATGAATGAACTAAAATTCCATAATCTATAAACTAAAATTTCAGAATCGATGAACTACAATTCCATAATCGATGAACTATAATTCCATAATCATTGAACTATAATTCCATAATCTATGAACTAAAATTCCAGAATGAATGAACAATATAATGTTGTTGCTGGGAATCGAACCTGAATTTTTTTTAAAAGGGGGGACGTGCGTTTTTTAATAAAACGACGTCGTTTTGGCATCCGTATGCACCATGCACAACATAACTATCCATCAGTGATTGCCGTTATCCAAAATCGATCCTACGATCGCTTGCCTCTCACTCACTAATTCTTACCACTCCCGCCACTTCACACACCTCGTCCCCTTTGGATTATGACCCCCTCCTTTTATACTGGATACGGATCCCTCCAAGCCAACCACGTGGACGGCGCCAACTTTTCCTTCTCGAGCCACACGTGTGCCGGCCACGCCGCACGTTCCGTGCCCACCTTGCGCACACCCCGTGTCGTGCGCGCATTCCCGTCCATGCGTCCGACGCCACCTCAGCCACGCCTCGTGAGATGGCCTACTTCCCTGCACGCCCGGGCGCGCGAGCGGGTTGCGCGGTCGATCCCTCGTACACGCATGCATGCCGCCACCATCCCGCATGCATGCGCATGCTATGCGGTCGCACAGCACTCTAACCGCCGCCGCCGCCTGCATGCATCCGCAGTCGGGCCGCCACCCTCGCATGCATGCGGCCCTGCTCGCTCTTCGCTTACACCCATGGGCTCGCCCACCAACCCTCTTGGGCTTTCCCCCCCCCCCCCCCCCCCCCCCCCCCCCCCCCCCCCCCCCCCCCCCCCCCCCTATGCTCTTGGACCCAGGCCCAATTCCTTATATTCCATCATAAGTCCCCCACTTCTTTTAATAATTAATAAATGATTCTAAAGAAGTAGAGTCCTAATCTGAAAAGGAAGAAAACCTTGATAGAATCCTAGTCTGAAAAGGAAAGAGACAAATGACAATCAGAACTCATGTATTTAAACCCCCCTCCATAACTAGAATACCGCGTCCACCCCCCTTTACGCGCAACCACCCCCCTTCTGCGCCACCTTCCTCGCCAAGAACTATACTACCTCTCGCTATTTTTATTATGGATATCGATTCTACTACGCCTTTCCCCGAGACTGTGCTCAACCCACCGTCGACATTACCGCTTAATCCTTCTATAGCACCCCCTTCGACCACCGCTGCCACTATGCCTCAATCAACCGCGGCTCCCACCGCTCCAACCTCTCGCACCGCCCGTCACCGCAACATTCGCCCCGTCCACGCCTTATTCACCCTCCCCGCCGCGCGAGTGAGCCGAGGGCTTGTCTCGGTCACTTGCTGCATTTCTCTTTTTTTTTTTTTGTCTCCATTTCTGATATTATCCTGTTCTCGTTTTTGACATTATCCTGTTCTCGTTTTTGACATTATCCTCCAGAATAATATAGTTCTTTTGTTTTTCATGCTTGCGTTGTGTGCTCCTCTGCTGTTATTGCCTGAAAAATTAGATACGGGTTTTTTGTGGGACTGTGCCACGTTTTCCCGTGGTAGCCCTTTTTTTTTTTTTTTTTTTTTTTTTTTTTTTATGGCTTGCACGCTGGGCTGCGTACCTTTCCTAGCAGGCCCAGGTGGATGTATGCTCATCGTGGATGGCATACTAGTGTGGGGGCCGCCTGCTGCCTCATGCTGGCACCACACACTATACCTTTTTTTTTTTTTTTTTTTTTGGGGGGGGGGGGGGGGGGGGGTGTCACGCTGGTTACGTACTTAGTTCTGCAGGACCAGGTGTGGACGCGCGTGTGCGCTAGCAGAATGAAAATGCAGGTAAACTTTAAAAGCGAAGTATGTAATGTGTAGGTTCTAAGGGGCACCTTAGAAGATTATTCGTGTCCATCCTCGTAGCCTGGATCATTGGAAAAAACACTTCAGGTGATGCGCATTCCATAGCCGATCTATCAGATAGCCTTGGATAGTCTCCAGCTTATATGTACCCTCCCGCACGAGGGCGGCTATCTTGTAGGGTCCTTCCCAATTTTTGGCCAGTTTACCTCCTTGCAAAGGTTTGCTGGCCTCCCTGCGTCAGAGCACTAGGTCCCCAGTTTGGAAATGCCTTGGGCGCGCACGGACATCATGGTCTCGCTTGACAACTCGTTGGTATTCTGCCATGTGCTTACGCGCATGTTCTCGCCTTTCTTCTAACAAATTCAGCTCCACCCTCCTGTCGTCGTCGTTTTGGTCATGCTCGAATTGTAGCATTCTTTCGGACTGTATGCGCCCTTCTACGGGTAACCGTGCTTCGCAACCGTATGCAAGGGCGAATGGCGTTTCCCCGGTTGCCCTCCGTGGTGTTCTCCGATAAGCCCACAGTACCGACGGCAGTTCTTCGTGCCAAGTTACCCCTGTTGCGCTGACCTTTTTTCTTAGGCCGTCCAGGATGGTTCTGTTCGTGTTTTCTACCTGCCCATTCGCCTGCGGATACGCCACCGCCACTTTGGCGTGTTCAACCCCGTATTATGCGCAAAACTGTCCAAAACCCGCACTATCGAACTGTTTTCCATTATCCGACACGATTTGCAACGGTAACCCGAACCTTGTGAATATATTCTTCCAGACAAACTTGCGGCATTGGTGTTCGGTGATTGATGCCAGGGCTTCTGCTTCCACCCACTTGGTGAAATAATCTACAGCCACCATTACGAATCTCAGGCCACCGACGCCCTTTGGGAATGGGCCCAACAGATCGATGCCCCACCTCGCAAACGGGATGGCCGAAGTAACCGGGGTATAATACGACGCGGGACGGCCGGGCAAGATCGCAAAATGTTGGCAGGTTTCGCACCTTTTTACGTATTCCAAACAGTCGGTCCTAACCCTCGGCCAGTAGTATTCTTGTAAGATCACTTTTCGTGCGAGCGTGTTAGCGCCTTGGTGCGCGGCGCACATACCTTCATGGAGTTCTGACATCACTCGCTCGGATTCAGCTTTCGTGAGGCATCGCAGCAGTGGTCCTCCGAAAGATCGTTTGAAAAATTTATTTTCGTGGATTTGGTAGGTGGGGGCCATCAATGCTACCTTCAGCGCCCGTGCGGGGTCCCCCAGAGCGACGCTTTCGGTTTTGTACAATATCATTTCGCGTATCCACTCGTCTTGGGCGGGTGAGATAGTGAGGATCTCATCTCTCTCTATACTTGGGCTATCTATGTCTGTGATTTGGGCGATCCGTGATATGTATTCGAGGTGATCCTCGACTCCTTGTGTTAAGCATGACAGTAGGTCGGCTTCCCCATTCTCCGCTCTCGGGATTTGCTGTAACTCCCATCGCTCCAGCACTGCTAGTAACTGCTTCACCACCTCTTTATACTGCCACATCCTGTTCTCTTTGGTCTCGAAGACGCCATTTACCTGTCCCACTACCAGGCGGGAGTCCGATCTGATTTTAATGCGTCGGGCCGGGATGATTCGGGCCAACCGTAGCCCCCCGATTAGAGCTTCGTACTCTGCGTCGTTGTTAGATAGCTGGAAGTTGAAACGGAACGCTCGGTACGCTTTGAACCCCTCGGGGGATATTAGAACCATGCCGCCTCCGCAACCCTTCCGGCTGGAAGCCCCGTCCGTATACATCTCCCATTCGGGTTCGGTGGTGGCCTGGCCCTCTACTCCGTTTTCCTGGGCTGTGCATTGCACTATGAAGTCGGCCAATGCTTGCCCCTTTATGGCCACCCGAGGTCTGTACTCGATGTCGTACTGGGTCAGCTCAATAGCCCATTTCATCATTCTTCCTGAGGAGATCGGATTTCTCATCACCGAGCCCAGCGGCTGGTTCGTCAATACCATTACGGGGTGGGCTTGGAAGTAGTACACCAACTTCCGGGTCATGCGTATTAATGCGTATATGGTTTTCTCGAGGGGGGTATATCGCAATTCCGCATCATGCAAGGCCCTGCTCACGTAATAGACAGGTCTCTGGACTCCGTTGTTTTCTCGTAGGAGCACCGAGCCGACGGCTGCCGGGGCCACCCCGAGGTAGACGTACAGAACCTCCCCACAATCTGATTTCGAGAGGACAGGCGCGGAGGCCAAGTAAGCTTTAAAGTGATCGAATGCCTCCTGACAGTCGTTGTTCCATGCGAATCCATCCCTCCTCTTCATGACTTGGAAGAAAGGCAGTGATCGTTCCGCCAGCTTGGACATGAAGCGACTCAAGGCCGCCAACTTACCGTTCAGGCACTGAATATCCTTTATGGACCTGGGGGGTAGCATGTCGAGGATGCTCTTTGCTTTTTCCGGATTAACTTCTATCCCCCTGTGAGTCACCATGAAACCCAGGAACTTTCCCCCTTTCACGGCGAATGCACACTTCTTCGGGTTAAGGCAGAGGTGATGTTGCTCCATGACCTCGAAACACCGCGTCAGATACTGTGGATGAGATTCGGCCTTCTTGATCTTAACGAGCATGTCGTCGACGTAGGCCTCCATAATGTCTCCTAACAGGCCTTTGAAGACCTCTGCCACCATTCGTGTGAACGTGGCCCCCGAGTTTTTTAGACCGAAGGCCATTACCTTGTAGCAGTATATTCCATCCGGGGTGACGAATGCGATTTTCTCCTCATTTTCTTCTGCCATGAAGATCTGGTGGTATCCCTTGAACGCATCTATGAAACTCAGCAGTTCGCATCCAGCTGTTTCATCCACTAGCTGATCTGTACGGGGCAACGGGAAGGGATCCTGGGGGCAAGCTTTGCTCAAATCCGTATAGTCGACGCACATCCGCCACGTAGGCGGTTTTGGTGCCAACACTACGTTGGATAACCACTCGGGATACATGGTTTCCCGGATGTGCCCTATAGCTAACAACGTGTCTACTTCTTTTTTCATGAACGCCCTCCGCTCAGCGGATAGGTGGCAGCGCTTCTGCTTGACGGGTAGATGTGTGGGGTCCACTGCCAGGCGGTGCGTAATCACCGATCGATCCACGCCTGGCATATCCTCCGGTCCCCACGCAAATACGCCCGCGTATCGCCTGAGGACTTGGACGATCTCCTCCCGCAAGCCGCCCTCGAGCCCTCTCCCTATTTTCACTGTCTTGCCGGGTTGAGACGGGTCTAGCTGTATTTCCTCTAATTCCACTGCCGGTTCGGGCATCTTTTCCGGTTCTGTTCCTTCCTGCTTTTCGACCGTGTAAACGGGGAGCCGATCGATGTTTCGGCAGGCCTTCTCGTAACACTCTCGCGCGGACTGCTGATCGCCGCGCACTATCCCTACCCCGCGGGGGGTGTGGAACTTCAAGCACAAATGTTCCATGGATAAGATCCCCCCTATCTCAACCAACCCTGGCCTGCCCAATATGATGTTGTGGGCGGAGGTTATCCTGACCACCACGAAGTCCATTTCTGCCTTTAGTGCGTGCGGCGGGTCGCCGATTTCCACCGGCAGTCGAATCATGCCTTCTGTTTCAACTGTGTCTCCGGTGAATCCGGCCAGCGGAGTTTTGATCGGTTTCAGCTGGTCTTGGGCAAACCCCAGCTTGACGAAGATATCGTGATACATCACATTTACGCTGCTCCCAGTGTCGAGCAGTACTCGCCTGACTACAGTGCCGTTGATCTCCATTGCGATAACCATGGCTTCCTTGGATGAAGCTCCCCCATGTGGGAGGTCGGTATCAGTGAAAGTGATTGGTTCCTTGCGTTGTCTCTTCATTGCAGGTGCTCTTTCGACGGACCCCACGTATTCCTCCTCCCCCTTGCCTGCTGACCATCCGCCGAAGATTACGTTAATCACGGGGCGTTTACCCTTGTCGCTTGTGCCCCCGCCTGACCTTCCCCTCGGGGGGTTGAGACTCTCAGGGCCAACCTCGGCTGTCTCCCTCTTCCATACGTTCCCATAGTACATCTTGTTCCAATCGATGAAATTACCCAAGTGGCCTGACTGGATAAGGGCCTCTATCTCCTTCCTCCAGGCCTGACACTCGTCCGTACTATGCCCGGATCGGCGGTGGAAGCGACAGTACCGCCCCCGGCCTTCGGCGGGGATGCCCGGTGCTCGAGGCTCGGGAACTTTAACCATTTGACATTGCTCGGCGTAGGCTAACACCTCACTGGGCCGGGCGTTGATAGGCGTGAGGGGTGCCGTTAGAAGATTCCTCATCGGCGGGCGGGGCGACCACAGTGGAGGCGCCCTATATGTCATCGTCATATCACCAGCGTCTGCTTTTCCCTTCCCCCCGATGGCCCTTTCTGTCGCGGGGTTTGTCCCCCTCTTTCCCGGCCTAACAGGCTCCTCGGCGGGTCGGGACCTTTTACCGGGGGTTTCTTCTTCGTGGCCCTTCAAACGATTTGCCTCCTCCGCTTCGGCATACCTGTCAGCATTCGCCATCAGCGCTACATAGGTGTCGGGGGTTTTGCGTCGCAGGCTTTTGTACAGGTCCCCCGCCCTTAGGGCGTCGACGAACATGACCACGCCCGATTTGTCGTCGATGTCTTCTACGTTCGCTTCTTCCGCCCGCCAACGGACCAGAAAGTCGGTCAGCGATTCTCCAACTCCCTGCTTCACCGTGGTGAGATGAGTGAAATGCTTTATGATCTTCCTTCCCCTCATAAAGTGGGTGATGAACTTTACAGCCAGGTCATGGAAAGAGTCCACACTCCTTCCTTCGGGGCTCGTGAACCAACGCTGCGCCTGGTCGATAAGGGTGGAAAAGAAGGCTCTGCACATCATGGCTTCTGACGATCCCATTAGCATCATGGTAGCCTGATAGGCCATTATGTGCTCTTGTGGGTCACCCCGGCCGTCGAAGCGTGTGATGCTGGGCGGCTTGAAGGTGGAGGGAATGGGCTCCCTCATGATCCCGAGTGAAGGGTGGGGTAACCTCAATCTTCGGGATAGGTACCCCGCCCCCTTCTTTCCATTTGAGTAACTCGGCTACCTTAGCCTCCATGCCTTTCGCCCACCCCCCGGTGGCCGTAGGGCGGGTCGGGCATCTGCCACGGCTTAGTGGGTACTCTCTCCCTCGGACTCGTCGTCGCACGCATGCCTGCCTGCATCACCTATCCAGACCCACTCTGATCCTTGGTCCTGGGGCGCGGTATTCCTGTTGCCCACGCTTGCATCGGCAACGGGCTTCTCGCGCCGCCCCGGGCCGCGATGAGGGACGCGGGCTTCGGGATCCACGGGCTTTGCGTTGTTGGCCCCGAGATCAGCGCGGACGACCTTCTGCGTGGGCGGAGTTGAGTGGGCCCGCCGGACGCCAATAGGAGCGGCTCGACCTTCGCTGGGGGGCGGGATCCGCTGTCCCGCATCGGAGGCTGGCGCCCTCAGGAATCGACTCTGTGATCCCATGATCGTCGCAGGGAACTAGGCGTATAACACAGTATGACAAGGTAACGGGTTTGCGAACACGGCTCTTTGTCGCGAGCCCTACAGACGGTGCCAATGATGGTTTTAATGAAAATGGGTCCACCATAAACCGAACAAAATGGATAGAAGAAGATTGTGATGAATATACTATGCTAAGACACCAAGCCCAGATTCCCCGGCCCACTATCAAGCCCAACCGTAAGCCCTGATTGTCGATCAGTGACTGCCGTTATCCAGAATCGATCCTGCGATCGCTTGCCTCTCACTCACTAATTCTTGCCACTCCCGCCACTTCACACACCTCGTCCCCTTTGGATTACGACCCCCTCCATTTATACTGGATACGGATCCCTCCAAGCCAACCACGTGGACGGCGCCAACTTTTCCTTCTCGAGCCACACGCGTGCCGCCCACGCCGCACGTTCCGCGCCCACCTTGCGCACACCCCGTGTCGTGCGCGCATTCCCATCCATGCGTCCGACGCCACCTCAGCCACGCCTCGTGAGATGGCGACTACTTCCCTGCTTGCTCGGGCGCGCGAGCGGGTTGCGCGGCCGATCCCCCGTACACGCATGCATGCCGCCACCATCCCGCATGCATACGCATGCTATGCGGTCGCACAGCACTCTAACCGCCGCCGCATGCATGTATCCTCAGTCGGGCCGCCACCCTCGCATGCATGCGGCCCTGCTCGCTCTTCGCTTACGCCCATGGGCCCGCCCACCAACCCTATTGGGCCTGCCCCCCCCCCCCCTTCCCTATGCTCTTGGGCCCAGGCCCAATTCCTTATATTCCATCAATATACATAACAACTAGTTTTTACACATGCATTATGCTGATTTAATACTCAATATTTGTATTTAAATAAGTAATTCGAAGTATATTAATACAAAATTATATATGAGACGTTCATTATAATTAGTATTAAAATTAATGTATGTACTTTTCTAAAAATAATTATCGAAATACTTATTGTAGTTGGTATGGTATTATGTAGTAGATACTACTTTTGGTAGAAATTACTCTAAGTTTTGTTAACTCGCTTTTGGATAAGTTTATCATTGTCTTTTTTTTCATTGTTTGTCCGTTTTTTTTTTTTTTTGGTAGTGTCTTATGTGTAATTGGGTTACTAGTGTTAGTTTTCAAAAAGAACATATTTGAATCTAAAATAGATCAACAAGGATCGTTATGCTGTGAAACCAAATTGGATTCATAATTTCAATACTATAGATTCATAATTTCTATACTGTAGATTAATAATTTCTATACTGTAGATTCATAATTTCTGTACTGTAGATTCATCATTTCTAAACAGTATAGTTATCAAATTATGGACATATATTTCTGTGATTTGTGAATACAGAGTTCAACAACTGGGAATATGAAAATAAAAATTTATGAACATAGAGTTCTGTAATTGTGAATATAGAGTTCAATAATTATGAATATGAAGTTCAAAAATTATGAATATATAACTTTATAATTACTTCTATATGCTCGCAACCTATAACTCATATCAACGTGCTTTCCTCAAATACTCAACTTAAACACATTCTCATGCTATAAACAGATATCTCCAAACATAGCTCATTATAATACTCAAACTCCAACAGATAGATAAGAGATAACTGAAACTCAACAAGCTAGATCGTGCTATTATGCCAACTCTTAAACAACAATAAGACTTTACTTCTCAAAAAACTTTAAATGCAACTCGCGCTATGTCATGCAACAGGATATGACATGATGCTTTATATATATAGATATACTCTCACTCTTTATATATATATATATATATATATATATATATATATATATATATATATATATATATATATATATATATAAAGAACATTTTCTGTGGAGGTTTCTATTGAGTCACTTGACTTGTTTTTCTCTTCTTTCTCAATCTTTCTCATGATTCTCTTTTTTCTTCTTTCTCAATCTTTCTCATGATTCTCTTTGCTCTTCTTTCTCAATCTTTTTCTTTATGCAAGGCAGATACTCCGCCATAGCGAACGGTGCAACTCTTGCAACCGCAACATCCGTATCAACGGAACCTCAAACTCGTGGGGGAGGTAGGAACTTCACAAATCGTGAATGGACCTATCCGGGCTCGGCAATCTAGCCGGCTTAGTACTCAACTCGCCCACAGAACCGGTACTGGTGGTTCTTTAATCTTTCTTTCTTTCTTTCTCTGTGGAATCAGGTATCGTACTTTCAGTGTGTACACCCCCTAACCAGGATTCCAAACCCAGCGGGTAGTCTCCAACCTAGCAACTCGGGAATATCGACCAAGTTACTTCTAAAATATCTTTCGGCCCTCTGTGACCGTTTCTTTCTTGCCGGGGATCTTAATTGCTGGATCTTTTTATTGTTTTGTCGATTTCTATTTCGATGTTATCTCTTTTCTTCCGAAAGGACATAGTCCTAACGGTCCTCCAAAATACTATTTTCCTCACAATAGATAGCATATAGATATATCTCATGCAACTTCTTTTCTCATGCAATAAACTCTTACCATATACAAGCTTTGCAATGCACATAAATCTCAACAACTTCTCTTTCTCACATTTTGGAAGTCAAATATCATGAAATCTTCTCAATGAAAATAGATAGTGATTTTTCAAAATAGATATAGGTTTTTGAAATAGAACTTAGGCTTTACTTAGAGCCAATAATGCGCTTTAACTTTGAAATATGCTAACAAAACTCATTCACTGTGAACATAGATAAATGCACTATTTTATGCCAAAATCTCAACAACTGAGCAAATCTTCTCAACAAATGCTCATCAAGTATTAAACATGCTTCTCAAATCATTTAAATACTCAAATGCTATAAATTTCATTTACTGATGCAAGTTCAAAGACAACCAATTTACAGAGCATTTAATCTTCACTTCTTTCAACTGCTACACATGCTTCCTAACTCCAAACCAAACGAAATCAACTTCTACTAGCGCGTTGTAACTAGCCTGAGTGTTTGAGTCTCAAGGGCCCACGAGTCCCGGTCTGAACAACACATAGCTGAGCCACAGAGGGCCCCGCTAGAACAAACTTTGGTCTGGCGGAGCTTGGTGACGGGGCTTGTGAAGCCCCGCAACTTGGCTCCGCCAAGTGACGGATCCAACGGTCCGACGTGTTATTCGCAGGCAGTCAAGCTTCCACAATGGCGTGCTGCGATGGATGTAGAGTTCAATGCTCTACTACATAATCAGATCTGGCAGCTGGTTCCCGTCCGACGTGATATGAACACCATAGGGTGTAAATGGTTTTTTTTTTTTTTTTTTTTTTTTTTTTTTTGCATTAAGAGGAAAGTTGATGGCACCGTGGAATGCTACAAAGCTCGACTAGTAGCCAAATGATTCAACCAGGTTCCAGGAAAGGACTATTTTGAAACATTTAGTCCGGTGATCAAACCGACCACTGTGCGGCTTCTACTATCCTTTGTAGTCTTGAATCAGTGGATAATGCGCCAACTTGATGTCCATAACGCCTTCTTGAATGGCCAAATTACGAAGGATATTTACATGCGGCAATCGCCTGGCTACGTAAATCCGGGATATCTAGATCATGTTTGTAAACTGCAGTGCTCTCTGTATGAACTCAAGCAGGCCTTTCGGGCCTGGTTCAAACGGCTACATACTTCTTTGGTACATGTTGGGTTTCGTCCTTCTAAAATTGATGTTTCACTAGTTATATATGATTCTGGACAATCCTGTGCTTTTATTCTTGTTTATGTCAATGATATCTTATTGTTGGGCAATGGCACTGCTTTGATTAATGATTTACTGTCTAAGTTGTCGACAACATTCAAGATTCATGATCTTGGCAGACCACGATTCTTCTTGGGCATTGAAGCGATATATAGTGCTGACGTTGTGGTGTTATCTCAACGTCGTTACATGACGGAGCTACATTGAAAAGCTGGTAGGATTATTGCAAATTTCTTGCCACGCCAATATCTTCGACCACCTCAAATGCCACAACCGGTTCAGTCCTGCTGGATGATCCCATGCCATATTGCCAACTTGTTGGATCTTTGATGTATTTATTAATCACACGCCCAGATTTATCTTTTGCGATGAATAACCTGTGTCAATTTATGCATAGTCCAACTCAGGATCATTGGGGCGGCTCTCAAACGGGTACTACGGTATGTAAAAGGTACCCTCACTCATGGGTTACACTTGTCAATTTCTCAATCCCCGGTAGTGCATGTGTTTTCAGACTCCGATTGGGCAGGCTGCCCGCTTGATTGGAAATCAATTGTGGGTTTCGCAGTGTTTCTTGGCTCGAATTTAATATCTTGGGTTTCATGGAAACAGCGCACTGTTGCACGCTCCTCAATCGAAGCAGAATATAAAGCTTTAGTCGATGTTGCTACGGAAGTTGTGTGGATTAAGTCCTTGCTTCATGAACTCGGCCTATAGCAGCATTCGGTTCCAATTCTCTGGTGCGACAATCTAGGGGCAACGGATCTAT